CTGACATTGTATAATAATTTGAACACATTTGCCAAACTGATTATGTGGTTGATCGAGTTCAGAAAAGGTAATTAGGCGATTAATGTCAAAAACTTCATTATTAATTTTAGTAAATTTGTTTTTATTAATAAACAAAATCTCATTCTGCGATTCAAGAAAATAAATTTTACATGAAGAGCTTTAAGAATGTATTCCGATGTAGTAGAACTCGAGTCGCCTACTCTTTGGTTTCTTCATAGCCATTATTGTAATGTGTTTGCATTCATTAGGCATATTTATTGTAAATACAATAAAACCCTGTTAAGACGATTTTTCAGGCTTTCAGGCAAAGGTGCCTTAAGACGATCTGTATTATGCATGATACAGATATTTTTAAATAAAGTGGCGTATTATGCGGAAAAAATATAGAGCATAATCATCTTAACGGGGTTCTACTGTACAAATGTATAATAATTAATGGTTTTAATATTCATTTATTATACCAGTTTATGAATATAATTATGTCAAGTTTATAGTCAAAGTATGGTCAAAAATCTTATAAAAATTAATAATTTTTAAGATCGTTTTTAAAAACAGTTTAATTTATATAATTAATATAGCATATTTTTTAATTTCAATATTTGTGATTTACTGTAAATTTTATAACAAGTAACTAAACAATTATATTCTAAATATTTATAATAACTAATTACTTGTCCATATTCTTGACTCAAAAATCAGCTTGCTACAAAAGTTATTCTCTAATACAATTAAAAAGTTATTAAGAAAAATATTGAATACGGTTTTAAATGATTAACTTCCTGCAGAAAAAGAATGTTTCCACCAGAAAATTTGCTAATTTTATGATTTCTCCACGTTTTAGGTCTATCTGAACCAAATTTGACACCAAAATTGGAAGTGTGTATGAGACACAATTTGAGTTTGAGATTTTAGGTTGCACCGATTTCAGAACTTTTAAATCTTTTTGATGAAACTCCTTAAAGTCTCAGTTTAATAGTTGTTTTAAGTCTAAGAAAAGTTGTTTTAAGTTGGCTTTTGCCAACAACAAAGTTTAGTTTTGCTTAAGCGGTATTTTAATTGTAATTTTCTTAAGGACAGTTTCTGCAACTTTTCAGTGAAAAATGCCTTTTACGCCTAGTTTCAAATTATTCATATTTCCATTAATTAATATATATTTCCAACTTTGCAGATGAAAATATGGTGTGAAAATTATCGATCAACATGGAGATGCAGTAAAAACAATGAAAGGAGCGCATTGAGATGAAGGTAAGAATAATTATTGTAGTATTATTTGATTTAAAGTTTTAGTTGATGTTACCTTGCACTAATTAATACAAAACATGAAGAAAGCATTACTACTGTCTCCCATGCGTTCTAAAAATACTACCATTCAAAATATTAGTCGAAGCTCATTCTTGAACTTGACAACTAGAAATTTCTTTTAGAAATGAGAAAAAAAGTTTGTATTTGATTTATGTGGACGTTAATGAGTCCGTGTTTCGTTCATCTGCGTGCAATGTTCCTATATCGGTGGTACATTTCATCCTGTGGCAATGCCAAAATCTAAAATTATCCCGTCGCTGCCTGAGACGAAAAATCTTGAACGAAAATCATCCGTGCTGGATTTCAGTTGAACGCCGGCTCCTCGCTGGGAAACTAAGTGTGTTTTCATGTGGAAGACGTGTGTGAATCGGACACGATAATATTGGAAATATTTGCCAAAAATTGCCAATAGGCCGATTATTTTTAGTTTGAGGTGAGGTGGCTAACTACGCAACTGAATGCATTTTTAAAATCTATTACCCATTGTTAAAAACACTGCTCTGTTATCGATTCAATCATGTTCTTCTAATCAATTACAATTAAGCTCCTTCATTTAAATTAGTATGAGCAATCGGAGAGGTGTGCGAAAGAGCAGAGTCGCGAATTAGGTCGACGATCTTTATGTGTGGTCGTTGTTTTATGTAACGAAAATTTTGTACCAAATATATTTAAGTATAAAACACGCAAAACTTGGGAATTATATTTAGATGAGCATTATACGGTGAATTGTGCGTGTACGATTATTGTGTATGTGTTTGAGTGCAAAATTGAAAAAGTGTAACCAAGTGACGAGGAGGTATCAAATGGAATGGATAGTTTTGTTTGGTTATCCTTAAATGCATGTTTTCATATTATGAATACAAAATTTTGATATTGATTTATGATATATAATGAGTGATTAGTACAATTTGATTCAAATATTATTTACTGCAGTTGCACAAATTTAGGATGTCTAACATTTTCCTTTCGACATTTTCTTTTTAAGTACCTCCAATGCTTTATCTTTCAGACATCTTCGACAGTTTGTCAAATATTGTATTACCAATGATGCTTATAAATCACATTTGTTATACATGAGGACTTGACGCTAAAATCTGTTTTTTCATAAGAAATTTTAAGTCTTGTTTTCCGCATTTTCTGGATATTGTTTGTGGTTTCTTATTTCTCTATTGTTCATCTGTCATCTATCATGACCATATTTTATAAAAAATAATTTTACTAATAATGTTCAAAAAACTAATTAGATTTCTATTGTACATCAGAGCGTGTCGTTAAAATTTTCTTTCATCAGCATTTTCTGGAAAATTTGTGATGCTATTGTTTGTCTGTTCCATATTATTTCAACTTGTAGTTGATAGTGTTCTATTGTTTGATTTAATCATATTTGAATAATAATAAGACGACGAACTCTGTTAATGATCTACCGACTTTGAAGTTTACATTGCTTAAATTATAGAAACACATTGCATTGATTTTGTTTTCATTGCATTTTACCAAATAGAGACAACTTGGAAAATTATTTCTTCTATATCGAGATCTTTCGAGTAAGTTGTTTCTACCATAAGCTTATTTTTAAATTTGCTCCAAAATTGGCTGATTTACTTTCACAAATCATACTCAGTCCCGTTGCATTAATCTTAATTATATATTCAACTCCCACAATACTCTTGTATAAATCTATATAATCCAAATTTTCTAAAATTTCTGAGTACTCTGTCAAAACATGAGATTGTAATAACAACAAGAGTGAAGTATGCAAAATTCATTAAAAATTAATTAGATGCATTCATGATCATCTTCTTGAATCATCAGGGAGTGCAGACTTCTAGTACTCCTAATAAGCAGATCCAACTTGGTTTAATGAAATAGAAACGCGGTTTAATTATAACAAATAGCTATTGTTTTTTTTAATGGTATTTTTTTATTTATTTCTGCATTAATTTGTAAACTATCTTAACAATTTATCTATTCTGCAAGATTGTAAAACAACTGCAAATATTATGCAAAATGGCACAAGCATGTTGACAATTTAATGTCTTAATTTTACACCTCGCCACGCATGTGAATTACATTATCTATTCTTGAAATCGCATTAGCAAGATGTTTCGCAATATTTAACCCAGCTAATGATTTTCTAGAATCTAAAATAATCGATTTCCATTTCGCAGAGGTCAATAAATATATTCTCACGCCTACATAATTCGGTTCGCCAGTCATAATGATTCTTGATAGATACTTTTGCTATAAATAAATATTTAGAGTAGTCTTAAAAATAACATATACTTGCGTTCATCGGCTTAAAATTCACTGTGATACAATTCGTAGCGTATATTTCAAAGTGTAAGATGACATCTATCTTGATTTATAATCCGCGATTTCCACACCAGTTCGGACATCTACTCTGCCCTCATTTCTGATGTAAAGGACGCACGAAAATATCAGATGGTGGTGCGTGTTTGTTACTTAAAAATATTTACTTTGCTTACTTTGATACGAAAATGTTTCGGAAGCTAAATCAAGTTTATGTGGCAATTTCTGTTTATATAAAACACTTTTGCTCTTGTAAATGTTAGTTTATGCTTCTACAGGTAAACCGCATTATCGCTGTGTATTTATTTACTGACTAATTTTGAATCTTCAAAGCTATTATAGGTTTTAGTTAATTTTTGATGGAACAATTATACAGGATATCATATATTGAATAATTAATGTATTTAATTAATGTATTAGTATTTAAATTAATTTTATTTTTTAAAAAAACGTTTGTTTGCTGATGTTGTCTTTGTGTAGTTCGTACCTGAGTCCCGTTCGCCACGTCATAGATTTTTTTGCTATAAAATGTATTGATTGCCTTTTGTTTTAGATTGGTCGTAAAACGATATTTTTGTTCAGGCAACATTACATAAACTTCACAAACTACAATTACACTCTTGAAACACAAAATGTTATATTAACGTCTTATTCTAATTGGAAATTTACTAATCTATTTGGCAGAGATTCAAGAAATCATAATTATTAATTATTAAAATCGTAAAAATTTAAACAGTTGTTTAGAAAACATGTAAAGAAATATATATTCAATAAACATATATTAAGCATTTTTAAAAGTTACAAATTACCTAAGGTGACCGAAAGCATAACATGAGTTGTGTCTATGAATTTTCTTGAATAGTTCAAACATATAATTTTTGTAAAAAATATTTTACTACTATTCAAAATCTCTATTCTAATTTATTACTTGTAATCAGTCACCAATTACACATTTCATTTAACTCAAACTTATTCCCATACGAAGTCCCCGATGCTCGAAAAAAATCAACGATCGACCGAGGCTCGGCTACCAATCTCGGCCGAGCGTCGGTGTCTGATTATCAGCCTATGGCTGGCACACCATCGGCCGCCGAACTATATTGATAATAATAATGTACGATCATCGCTTCTCGGCGCACTAAATGTCATGTCAGCTGTTTTTAAGCATTATTTACCTGCAATATATACAGTCGTATGCAGTAGAAAAAAAATTGATCGTTCCTATTAAATATTTTTTTTCAATTTCTGAAATAATGTCCGACCGTGTAAAGAAACATCGGGCATTAAAAAAGTACATGGATATTATATCCCTATCTGATACACCCTCTTCGTAACTGTTTCTATTCATAATATCATATATGATCGAGATCATAATAATTCAAATAGTGAATTTGGTGAAACTGAATTAAGTGTAAATAATCAAGTAAATGAAGAAATTAATTATAGTGCATTTATTAGTGGTAATGAAAGTGATAATGAGAACAGTTTTAGTGGCTGTATTGATGATGACAATCAGCGTAGATACTTGGCAGAAAGTGAGGTTATTGTTTCTAATGAAACAGATACTGATAATGTTTATAGTAATCATGAAAGTTTTGCCGAGGAGAACGTAGTGGAATCAGACACAATAAGAAAAGAGCTTCGTCAGTGGGCTTTAAAGAATCTCGATAGCCTTCAATTAAATATAATTTCCGAATTACTTGTATCATTTAGAGAACAAGGTCATCCAACACTGCCTTAAACGGCCCAGGCATTACTCCAAACTAAACATCACCAAGTGGTAGAAACTATAACAAGTCTGAAAGAAACTGAAAGTTATTATAAATATCTTGGTGTAGCAAGTGGATTAAAAAAAATTATTTCACCGCGTATATTTTCTGAAAATACAATTGAAGTGCTTATTCACATTGACGGTTTGCAAATTTATAAAAATTCGAATCTACAAGTTTGGCCTATTACAATTAAATTTTTTAATAGAAATTATATTAGTCATCCGTTCATAGCTTCCATATACTGCGGTGATTCAAAACCTGCAAACGTAAAATAATATATTTCCGAAATAGCCGACTCGCAAGCAAGGTCATACATTAAATGCTGCAAAGCAGCAGGTACATTTTATGCGTGCGAAAGATGCACTGTCAAAGGGATGTCTGTAGGGGAGAAAAAAAATAAGAAAAGGATCTATATCTAAGTATATATAGATTGTGGATGAAGCATTAGTGTGTGAGTCGGTCTTTTCTATTAGTGCAATAAATATATGTATATATACTCGGTTGTGTGCGTACGTTCATAGCAAACTCGAGTCGACTGACTAACTGCGTGTATATATTGTACATATTGACTTTTAAGTGCGACAATATCGTGTGTGCGTGAGTAAGAAGTTATGTGACTGTAATGTGTGCGCGTATGCTTTACTTTTGTTGAGAACTTTCAGTCAAGTGTAGCACGTGACCGAAAGAAGCACGTAAAACAATCGTAGGATCTATAAAATAAGCGTTCAACGTAAGTATTTTCTTTTTAACAACTTAAAAATCTTCAAAATTTTATTAATTCATTGTATTGTATTTATATAAACATAAATTTTTGAATATTAGATGAGTGCTAACATTTCCAATGAGGAAGGGCCAAGTGAATATGCAGTTGTGTGATTTTACCTAGGCGGGGTCCTGGTTACAATGAAATTGATTTGGTCCCATATTCATGGCTTGATGAAATAGAAGATAAGTTATATTGCGTTTTGATCGATTTTGATTTAAATAACAATAAAAACTTTTTTATATGCTCTTGGCCTTTGTCACAGGATGTATCTATTTATTTGCAATATATATTTTATATTTCAGATGTTATACAAAAAAAATTCGGTGACTCGGACCAAACAAAAAAATTAAGATCTAGCGTTTGGTCGTTTCTGGCAAATTTTGCAGACAGAGGTGGCAGTAAGCGTAAACAAGCGTAAATAAGCTGTAAAGTTTAAACTGATTTCTGTTCTATTATAATTATTACTACTATTAAGATTATGACTATTATTAATAATATTATTATAACTATACTACTAGAACAATATTATTATAATATTGTCTAAGATTCAAAAACTATTATTCTATTTTATTTTTATGTTTCCAAAGTTTTTCTAAAATGTAAACATTCTTGAATAAATAATGGTACAATATAATTTTTTTTGTAATTTTATTTTAACCACGCTTGGTCAGCAGTCGGCCATTACTCTTGGCCGATACTCAGTTACTATGATAAGCCGATCCTCGGCAACTATAACAGGATGACGCTCGTATACTATCCTCGGCCGATGCTTATTCGGCAGTCTAGCGCTGATGTTAACATCCGATGCCCAGCGGGTCTTGCCCCGATGACACATTCTGATCGTCATCCGATGCTCGAGGATCGGCTGACTATCATAGCCTGATGATCAACCGATCACCATTCTTTGTATGGGTTTATGCGTTGTTTATGTGTAAGTTACCGCCATATGTATCTTGAGCTATAAGTAAAACATTAATTAATTTTATTGCATAATATTGTCAGGAACTGCATAGACCTTTTAGTTTTAATTAAATTAGATTATCGATTGTATATTTTAGACTTATTATTAGAATGCAGTGTGTGATTCAGTTTCCGATTTAGACGTGATTAAACTATGCAACACGTGCCAATACAAACAAGGTTACGAATTAGTTATTTAACTTTTCACTTTCTGTCGGTTATGCAATTTTATGGGATTTTAACACATCCTAAATAAAATTAAATTATAATAAAAAAAATATTAGATATTAAATTTGTCTCGCGATTTAGTCACTGTCTGAGAAAAACAGGATGATGAGTAAAGATGAGCAAATAAAAAATATTAAAAATATCTCTAAATGTGTCAGTGTTTCATAGCGGTTTTTATGTTAGCTTTTAATTCAATATATTATATATGCATTTAGAATTGCTGCTTTTTATTATTATTATTATTTTCACTATTATTATTACCATTATTATTATCTACTTTCAAAAGAACTTTTCTAATTCCCCTTAATAATGTCAAATCATCCAAAATAACCTTGCGTCAATGGTTACCGAAGACGGCCGTCCGCATCATTCATCAGACGGATTATGAGTGCTCATCCAATTTTAAATCTAATAATAATTCGACATATCAGTACGGCGAAGACAAACTCTTATGGAACATTATTGATACGTGCGTCCGAAGGATCTCTGCACGGTCGTGCTGAAAATAGACGGCTGCAACATCCGTCAAACGACTTTGTCTCGATGTAAACTGTTTGGAAAACACGCCGTGTTCGGCCTGCATGTTTACAGGAATCGTTACAATCGGCTGATGATGAATACCAATCTGTCACGAAACGCATCGCTAACGATTAATCTTAAACCGTCTTGCCGCAGTGATAAAATTCGTTTCTATTTGAACTATTACAAATAGTAATAGCCGCTTGTGTTAATTTGATTGCGACATTTATGTAGTTTATGATGGCAGATTAACAAGTAAATTTTACTGGTTTTAGTACAGTCACGCTCAAATAGACTGTTGTATGTTATTCGAAACAGGTGACTCTTGCTCTAGTTTTCAGCTGCTGATTGTACATGCAATAGGAATATAAACTTCCAACCTAACAATTTTTTAAATTTACCTTTACTTTGTTCTATCTGTTTATTATTTTTTACAGATGCGCAAGTGAAGAATTAAAAGTGCTGACCTAGCGCAAAAATTTTGCCGGTATGTCCGGTCCACCACCACACAATCCGCACGGGTATCCGCCAGGCGGTGGTATGCCTCCTCCACCGCGCGGTTGGCGAGGAGCACCACTGTCGCCTGTGTTTTTTCGTCCTCCGTCGCCATGGACGTCCGCACATTCACCACCTGTTGTGAGTCCAGTTCCGTTTCGTCCACAATCACCACTTTTCGGTAATCCAGCCTCTCGTGGTGTCCGCGGTGGTTTCGTTCCGTATCGTCCTGGTACGCCGCCTTTACCAGGTTACGCGCTTCCAGTGACGCCGCCGCCGGGGTACTATAGACCGTTGTCGCCGGTCACGTTCGCCGGTCCGCCGCCGCCGCATAGACCCATACCGGAATATGGGTCACCGATTTCGCGTCCTGGTCATCAGTCCCCGGCTGAGTACATGTATAGACCTGGCCCGGGCCCGGAGTTTATGTATAGCCCTGGACCGCAACCCCAGTACGTGGGAGTTCCATTAGAGCCGCCGCCACCTAGACCAACTCGGTACGTCATTTATGATGACGAGGATGATGATGGGCCGTCCACGGCTGACATCATTGCCAGTCAATCGCAAGATTACGTGGACGAAAAACTTGCTGAATATCAGGCTACAATATTGCAATTACAAGGTTAGTTTTATATTTAATAATCTACTTTACTATTTGTGTATACTCAAAGAACTCAAATCATCAAAATGACAACATGTTGGAATCTGAATTGGCTCTGAGTATGGCCTACATATTGAAGAAGCTGTACAATAATAAATTTGGAAGAGTGATTTTCTGATTTATATTAATGAGTATTCTAATTTGATCAAAATTACATGTCACATAAGATTTTGTTACACTACCGTTATTTGGCTACATAGGAATTTCTATTTTGTAAGTAAATGTATTAACTTACATAACCTGGAGACACGCCCAGTATATGCGAATATGCGTGCTCTTCTATAAAATTTAAATGTGCCAAATACACAAAATATTTTATTAGATTGCGCTGAAAATTTATTGACGTGCATATTTTATCGCAAAGCATCACTTTTATTTTTGTGAATAATAAAATGATTTGTAGTCATAATATATTTTGAGCTTATATTCATGAGCAAGCGTAATAATTATAAATATTTTTCATGTAGTAAATTCTTTTGGAAAACATATCAGTTTACTTCGAATTACAATTAAATTATTACAGTAGATGAACCATAGATGAACATAATTGATGGGCCCTAAACTTTTAACAGGAATTTATATATTATTCATTGATTTTTTTTAATCTCTTATGATTTTACATTACTATCAACTCAAAACTATTTATACCCTCTATCTGGCGCCATCCATTTATCCAGTTGACTAATGTTTCAAGTACAATTTTATCAAAAGCTCTTAATGAAATATTACTTCTAATAATAGTATAAAGATTCATTTAATCTTGAACTTTCTCTAAAATGGGTTTTCTGTATAATTTAATTCAAAAATTTACTGGTTTACATTTTCTCTTACTCCAACTTATTGTTAGTCGATACTTCTTTTTACAGTAAAAGGTTTTTTTCGATATTTCTTCATATTATTTTCAATTTCCATATACTGTGAGTAGTAACATTATTTCATCATCACTTTTTTGATGAACTCAGACGATTTGAAAAAATATATCAATCTAACACTAATCACTTTGTTTTCTCTCAAAGCATAGTTGTGTATCAGAATAGCAGTTTTTTGGCTTACCTTCTGCTTTATTACTTTACTGTTAAAAGCTTTTTAGACGTCTAAATTTCAATCTTGGTTTTGCAAACATATTCTGTACACTTTAGCATTTATTTAGGACATTTTTATTTAAAAAAAGCGCTTTTAATGAATCTCATACAGTTTTTTTTAACCTGAATTTTTGTAATCAGCCTCAAGTCAATTAAGTACATAAACTGATGTATATTTTGAACAAATTTATTTGTAATGATACTTAATGTCAAATATGTGCATTTCTAATTCATTTACAATTTTATTTTGTGATGGCC